GGGGGGGGGGGGGGAATGGGGTATTCTCTAAATTCAGCTACAAAGAGGCAAATGATAATTGCAAAGAAACCACTGTTTTCCTTTTTTTCTATGTAAAAAACTTTAGTGTTCAAGTCCAACAAAATCATGCACAAACAACTTATTCTAAGAGGTCTTAAACTTTACTACTCTAAAATTTTTGGTGTAATCATTTTAACATTTTCTTCATAGTTTTATATCTTTTGTCAACTAATTCCAGTCTTTTAGCCTATGAATATGAGTGTCTGATTTATAGTACACGACTATCAAAGTTTCATTTAAATCATTAAGTTAAACAAAAATATTTCAAAATGATTTTTGACTCTTTTAAGTAATTTTCAATGACCATCACTTGGTAATGGTAAAACAAAATACAAAGTATAAATGTGAATGCCTTTATTGCATGTAGACATCTAGTTCTATGTATATAACACATTTTAATACATAGGATTACATCGGTCAACTTTGCAGTAATAGGTTTTCTCTAGTTTCTAAAAGTAGGGAGCCCAGCACAGCATTATTTAAGAGAAAATGTCTGGCATTATGTTCAAACTTCCCATTAATTCTCACTAGCAATGATCAATTTTTACATATTCAAGTTGGTCAAAATAGGACCTGTGGGCCAAATCCGGCCTGCCACTTGTTTGGGTAAATTAAGTTTTACTGGGACACAGCCATGATTACCCATTAACATATTGTCTATGGCTGTTAAGTATTTGCAGCTTAGACCACATAGCCTGCAAAGCTTAAAATGTGTACTACTTGGACTTTTATAGAAAAAGTTTGCCAACCACTGCAGTATAATCCAAAGTTCAAAAATTCAAATGAAGTAGCAACACTGGAAAACATGTAAGAAAAACAAGACAATGCATAAACATTAAGAGCATTTATGTGACCAACAAGACCAATGTTGTTTAACTTTGTTTAAAAAATATAATAGTAACATCTTTAACATAAATGCTGTCTACTGTAACTCCAATAAAGACTGCAATACTTTATATCAGCATATGATTATTTAAAAGAATGAAAAAGTATCATTGCTTCTGCTAAAGAAAACTATTTCATATTAGTAATTAGAATGTGCCATTTATTGATGAAATGAGAGGAACTGTATGAAAATTTTTCATTTCAGTATTTGAATTTTAAAAAGTAACACATAATTCAATAAATACAGTCCATACATTTTTCTCTAAATTTCACCCTCTGATGGCATATACCCTTGAATAGCTATTTCTATACTTAGACAAATGTGTGTAAGTGTTGTATGTGCCATGCGTGTGCATGCACACACACACACACACACACACACACACGAGTATGATGAATTCCCCCATTCTCTTTTTAGCAAAATGGACTCATACCATTACAGAGTAACTCTTGGATGCTATTTTTTAAAAATCTTTCTCAACTTTGTTTTGCAAAGTACATATAAATTCAGCTGTAAATATGAAATCATAACATTGGAAATTTTTATAAGCTATGAGACCACATGTCAAGCACCTGAAATATAAGTTTATAATGAGAGTCATATAACTCCTAGAATCTTATCAGCTGCAGAAGCTGGTAGAGATACTTTGCTTAGAAAGATTAAGCAGGTGGGTATGTGGATGATCACCTGTCCTCATAACAGATTCCATGTTTGTGGGTAGTGGGTGAAGGGAATGAGTGACAAAAATATAAATTTAATATATACCTCTCTCTTCTTCACACCAAAAGGGGTTCTCAATTATTAATTATTCTTAAAAGAAGACAGGGTAAAAAAAGGAAATCCTTTAAGTTTTCAGTAAATGTTCCAAATATAGATACACATGTACAAAGACTTAATTTCATTCAACAAATATTTACTTATCAAACTTCAATTTCATTCAATAAATATTTACTTATTAAAGTTTAAAATCATGTCCATAGTAAAAAATGAATAATTTGAATTTTTAAAAACAGGATCATTAATATAGATCTTAGTAGAGATGCACCAATCAACTTTATACTATAAATACATAAACAGACAGACAAAAGGCAAAATTTTCTAGAAACACAAAACTGACTTAAATAAATAGAAACCCCAATATTTTAAGAAAATGAACTCATGGTTAAATATATACTGAATCTTTAACAAACTGCTCCAGTGAATATAAGAGAATGTTTTTCAACTCATTTCACAAAACTAATATATACTCTTGATGCATAGAACAGTAAAAGGAGAGAAATTATAGGATATCCTCACTTATTTAAAGTATGTAAAAATAGTAAATTATATATACACCTTAAATATAATATCCTGAACAAACTGAGTTTAACTCAAAAAGGCATATAGAAATTAATGCATTAGAAAATATATTAACGTCTTTAACCAAATTATGAAATTAAATAAGAAAAATATTAACAGAAAGAATTCAACAAATTTCAACACTCATTCAGTATAAAAAATCTTTATGAAACAGTAAGAATAAAAGAAAAATTCCTTGCCTAGATAAAGGTTTTGTTATCAGGTAATGATTATGTATCCAAACTTACAGAAAAAAATGATGCAAAACTCTAAAAGCAATTTTTTTTAAGTCAGGATCATCCCTATGACAAGTTGTATTTAGCACTGTACTGAAGGACCTAGCTAAGGCAGTAATTCAAGAAAAATAAAAGGTACAAAGACTGGGAGGAAAAAGCAATGTGTTCATTATTTATAGAAAATATACTTAACTACATAGTAATGGGCAGGAGACTCTATACTATCATAAGGAAAAGAATTTAGCAAGGCTGCAATCAGCAAAATCAACTGTACACCAATCAGCAAACAATTGGAATATGTATTTTTTAAATTTTTTATTATTTTTTTTGTGGTACGTGGGCCTCCCACTGCTGTGGCCTCTCCCGTTGCAGACGGGGCACAAGCTCCAGACGCGTAGGCTCAGCGGCCATGGCTCACGGGCCTAGCCGGACCGGGGCACGAACCCGTGTCCCCTGCATCGACAGGCGGACTCTCAACCACTGCACCACCACGGAAGCCCCGGAATATGTAATTTTTAAAAAATACTATTCACAATAAAAATTAGTGTATGTTTCCTAGGAATAAGCCTAATTGAAAAAGTACAAGACATTATTGGGAAAAATACAGAACTTAGAAAACCTAACAACAGATGGAGAATTCTATCATGGTCCAATCTGGGAGAACAACAGATAAATCTGTGACACTTCTTTCAAAATCTATCTACAAACTCAGTCTAATTCTAATAAAAATTCCAACAAGATTTTTTTGAGTATGTGGAACTTGACAAGACGATTTTAAAATGCACATGGAAGAGACATGCCAAAAAGCAGCCAAGAGGAATCCGATTCCTCAAGAAGCAGGGTTGAAAGAACTCACCAGATATTAATATTATTGAAACAAAAACAAAAGCAACAATGTAAAACAGACACTCCCAACATGTACAGAAACTTGATATATGACAGAGATGTCTTTACAAACCACTGGGGACAGGAATGGCTTATGCACTGAAAGTGCGGAAACAACTAATTATCTGTATAGAAAAAAATGAAATTAGTTCCCTCATTAATATTATAAACAAAATAAATTTCAGGTTGGATTAAAAACATAAATGTAAAAAGGCAAAGCTTTATCATTTCTAAAGAAAGTATAAAATCTTTATCACTGAAAAGTACAGAAAAATTTCTTGATCAGGGGACCAAAAACCCCCCCAAAACACTATATTTTTTAAACAAGATCCCAAAAGTATCAATCTTAAAAGAAAGGATTGATAATTTGAGTTCATTATTCTGTAAAACAAAAGATTAATAAACAAGGTAAAAAACAGAAGGCACAGACAGAATAAACATTTGCAAACTATATAATCTTCAAAGAATTAGTTTCCAGAATGCATTACCTACATAGAAAGAGATAGACAGGAAAAAATTGTGGACAAGAAATTCACAGGAGAGAAAATTAAAATACCCAATAAATTCATTAAGTAATCAGGGAACTGCAAATAATGTGATCAATTCAAATCTATTAGAATGACAAAATTTATGTCAATAATAAAGTGTGACAAAGAGAGTGACGGGGAACAATGATATTACTGGTGAGAATGTAAATTGGTAAAACAACATTAGAAAGCAACTTGGCAGTATTTAGTAAAGTTAAACATGGGCATGCTCTACCACTCAAAAACTATTTCTAGGTTGTGTGTGTGTGCACACATATATATCTTGAAAGTCACAAATGTATGAGTAAGAGGCATACAAAAACTTTCACCACAGTTTTCATAATATCAGCAAAAAAGTGTAAGCCACTAAAATATCTATCACAGGCATAGTTAAATAATTGTGCATTCTTAGAGCAAATGAATGAACTAGAGATGCACATATCAATGTGCATAAATATGAAAAATATAATGGCAAGGGAAAATTATACATAATTACGTTTATAGCGTGAAATCATTAACATTAAAGACATGAAAAATAATAGTTAAATGTACATACCTGTAGAGCAAAAATAAATAAATAAAAGCTTACTAATGCTAACAAAGTAAGAATGATGGTTACCCTCTTCTTCATCTGATCAGGAAGGAGGGGACCCAGGGGATTTCCAGATTATATATACCTATTTCTTTTCCCCAAAACCTGAAACAAATACGGTAAAATGCTAAGATGTGGCTCAGTGGGTGATTGCTACACAGATGTTTATGATTTTCTCTATACTTTTGTATAGCTGACATAATATACGTTTTGTTCAACAGATTTCCTGAAAGTGAACACACGTGATTCATAGGAGAGCCACCCAGAGCCTCACTCACAGCCAGTGCTGAAGATAGGATTTTAATATATTTCTCTGTCCTTCTGTTTGTCAAATTCATCACTGAGTAGTGGCTGCAGTGAGAGGAAAGGGGAAGAAAAGTAATACAGTGTACAATGGAAAAACTAGGACCTCTGCCAGCAGACCCGCAGTGTACTAGGTTCCATCAGCCTGAGCCCCGGGGTAAAAGCAACACGGAGCCGACTGAAGATGGTAGGGAGCAAAGCAAAGCTAAGCCTCAGGTGACATGGAGCAAAGCAGTCATAAACTTTGTTATTGAGAGCTGCCGTGACTTTAGGGTTTTTGTTACTGTAATATAACTAAGCTTAAATTGAGGTATACAATCAAGCTGGCTGCTAAGCCCACTGGGAAAATAAATGATAGGGAATTTTATTATGGTGGATTAGGCTGATAATAACTAAACCACATAATCAATCTTAAGATCACAAAGAAAGACAATCAAACATGATGTGCTTCTTTTCATAAGCTGCAACAGAAAGTATTGGTGGGCAGGATTTAAACCTGAGGTTATTAGACCAGCCAAAGAACCTCGAAGGGTAGAAGGAAAACTCTTCCTTTCCAGTTAAGAGCAATGCATCAGTCAAATGTACAACATGAACTTGTTTGTATCCTGGTTAAAGAAATTAGGTATTAACAAATTTACAAAAATCAAATAACTGAAATCCCCTTTGTATCTTTCCTGTTTTTGATAATTTTTTAAAGTATGAGAATGGCTTGTTTTTTTTTTAAAGTCTAAGATACATATTAAAGTATTTATAGTAATAATATAATATTAGGGTTTGCTTTAATAATACAATGGTGAGAGGAATAGTGAAACAGGATTGGTAGATGTTGTTGAAGCTGGGTAATGAGGATTTTTTATCAAAATTAAAAACGTTTGCTTCTCTCAAGATATCATTAAGAAAATAGAATGAAAAGTCACATGCTGAGTGACTATATATTCAGAATACATATATGAGACAAAAGATTTGTATCAGGAATATATAAATAATCTTTATAATCCAATAATAAAACAAAGAACTCAAAATGGGCAAAATCAGATACTTCACAAAAAGATATATGAATGGCCAATAAGAACATGAAAAGTTGTAACAGTTTTCAGCAAAACATAACTTTGCAACCATACAAATGCAAAATAAAACCAAAATGAGATTCCACTACAAACCACGAAAACGGCTAAAATTTAAAAAGACATTTGAAAAGACAATTGTAAATGCTGGTGAGGATGTGAAGCAACTGGAACTCTAATTGCTATTAGGAATATAAAATGGTACAAACACTTGGGAAAATAGCAGCTTTACTAATAACAGTCAAAAAGTGGGAACGACCTAAATGTATAAATAGATATACAAATAGTGTTGTGTCCTTATAATGGAAATTCAGCAATAAAAAGGACCGAATTACTGATGTTGGCACCAACATAGATGAATCTCAATAACATTATACTGTGTAAAAGAGGCCAGATCAAAAAGAGTATATATATATAGTCTATGATTCCATTCAACTGAAGGTCTAGAAAAAGCAAAACTAAAACTATAGTGACATAAAGCAGATCAGTGGTTGCCTGGGGCTGGGGGTATAACAAGACTGACTGACAAAGATTATAAAGGACCCTTTTGAGGTGGCTGAAATACTGACCATGCTGTTGGTTAAATGGGTGTACATTTGTCACATCTCATCAAAAAGTACCATTAAAACAGCTGCTCTTATTGTATATAAATTAGACCTCAAAGTTGATTTTAAAAAGCTATAATCAGGTATAATTATAACATATGATTATACCATTTTACAAGGTCATGTATAAGGGTAAATCATATAATCAAGTGAAAATAAGGATTCAAGGAGGAGAATCAAATTGTCTTAATAATCAAAGATACCGTATCCACACCCTAAATTTAGATAAGAACATAAAGTGAAGACATAAAGGGATAATGGGCTATTTTAGTTCTCATGTCTAAAAAGAGAAAAAGTCCTAGGAAAAAGTTGAATCTTGAATGTCATATTAAATTACGGATATTATTTTTCACAAAATTGTGAAATAAAAGACATGGAAATATATTGGAATATGTAAAATGACCTTCATATTGATAATTCTTGGGTAATAAATACATGCATACATTAAGCTCAGGGCATTATTTTTGAGAAGGCAGTAAAATGTGTACTACACGCTATGAGAATCTCTACCCACAATGTTCTTTCTTTAATTAAAAATTTTTTAAAAACCAGTGTAAAGGATAAACATTTAGAACTCTGCAAAACACAAGTATCAGGGAAAAAATATTCCTGGCCATTCTCAAACTGAGATAAAAATATCTCAGACATATAATAATAGCGTGTTCTGCATACGTAAAGCTGGTGGGAGCAGAGGATGTTGACCTGGCCTATCAAAATTTCTTTGCACTCTTGGAAGGAGCTTAAATGGGAAATTTTATGTTTTTTGGTTGTTTTTAAAATAGCCTTCAGAAGATTTAGAAAACAAATTGAGGTCACAACACAACACTTCAAACAATACTTTTTATGACTTATCTTCTGAGACAATCAAGTCCACACTCCTTTACATTACAGGTATGTCCCTGGAAACATTTGAGAAGAATTGTTTAATGCATATGTTAGGAATTTTATTAGACTACTAAATAAATTAAACCTCAAAATAACAAAAGCTTTAAACATAAAATAGGAGCTTTATTCACTGTCTATTCCTACTAAGCTATGGTAGAGTATCACTTTCCTTAGGACTGGTCTCCCACATTAAAGCAGGCCAAATTATTTTGATTTCACTTAAAGTTATTAAGTTATTTGTCATTTCAAAACCTCATAAAGTAAATTAAAACATGATTTTAATATACCTTTTTTCCTAAAAACTCAGTTATTTAAAATAAACTTAAGGCTCTGAATTTAAATCCAGGTATCATAATCTGATTGATGTCTATTTCTCCTATACACCTTGTTTCTCTGTATTTTTAAATAAAAGTCTCATACTTAGGTAGGCACAATAAGGCAATAAGATATGGCATTCCAGATAGCAAAACTTCATTCAATATCTGCTGCTCCAATGCACTCTTTCGATGGAAAAGTAGTCTGTGTTCCCTTTGGGGTTTTTTTTTTTACATTTATGCTTTGGAAATTTTTTTACTTTACTAAGGGATACTAAAACTTCATTCGAGCTCAACCCCACTGAATAACAATTCTAAACCAGTCAAGCCTATATTAATATAATTTCACTGTACTTACAGTAGTACTTCTTTCAAATACCATCCAAAGTGAATTCCTACCTCTCACTGCCAGCATTTAAATTCTAAATGATGCTTCAAAACTATCCGCAGCTATTTTACAGTCTATAAAGCATGGATATTCTGCTCTATGGGTGATGTAGTTCATTGACCTCATTTTCACCTGAAAGCAGTTCTGTTTAATATAAACGTTTGGCTCAAATACCTGCGTGCCTAAAATATTTGGGAGAACGCATTTCAGAAAGTATTTTAACCTCATTAGGAACGTATTGTATAAAATGGAAAGGCATTCGCCACAGCTCCACAGCAAGCACTTTCATTACGTAAGCAGTCCATATTCTTGCAGTTAAGTACTCTACACACTGTTTTCCTTTAATGATTTTTCAGTTGGAAAAAAACACCAACTTTTAAAAGACACAGGATAGATTTTGGCTTTTGCATTAATTTTATGAGTGTGATCAATAATATCTCTTATTAAGGGACAAAAATAATTGGACAAAATAGAAGTTCGGCACTGGGAAATAACTCAAAAGACTCAATGGAAGCATTATTCTCTTAAACATCTATCTTCTAAATCAAAATTAAACCTGACAATAGATTCACTCACCAATATTTTCTGTGGGCATTGAGACCCTGGTTGGTTCTACGAGATTGTCAGCCAGGACAAAAGCTCCTTCTTCCAATGTATCCAGTAGCATTGTTGCAGTATGCGCTTGTTCAGAAGAATTCATGTGTTTCCATGATTCCAAAGCTTCAGGTCTCAGAAGGTTGTCCACTGTGTCAACAATTGCCTGCATCCATTAGAAAACTATCATTAGTTTTGAGTACTTCTAGTACCAAGGTGATTTTCAATCACTGACTAGTGACAACTGTAACATTTATCTGTCATGATGATTTACTCTTACGGAAGAACACCTGGACAACATATATCTGGCCAACTTGATGTCTGACCCTTTCAAAATAGAACTAGCTGAAGATCAGTAGACTACTATTTGATTATAAAGACTAAGTATAAAGACATGACTCGTTTCTGTTTATCTAATCATATTTCAATTGTTGCAAAGAAATAAAACCAGTGTCAGCTCTTAATCTGAGGTATTACCCCTACATGCATGGTTACTCCTATATAAAACCTCAAGACTTAAATGTTCTAAATAGAAAACACTGGTGTCTCTAGAGTAGCCTAATACCTATGCTTGAAAATTAAACCATATTGTTTTTTGGAACCTGCACTAAAAATAGTAACCAAAACTGTGCCTTATAACATTGTCTACTTATTATCATTGGGAAAAAACCAAGGTAATTTCAAAGTGTATAAGTTATCTGTGAATGTTTTCAATTCATTGCCTGGCCAGCTAAAAAACACTCGAGAGTATACCTTAATTCATAAACAATCATCTGTTTTTAAGGAGATCAAGAGAACAGTCAAAATATTTAAAACCTGTACTAATAATTTAAGAAAGACAGAAAGGCAAAGTAAAGTCTTAATAAATATCCAAGTTATAGATATTCATATGTGTAGGTTTAGTTTATTACCATGTAAAACAACATTAAATAAAAATGTAACCCGGTCAGCTAAGCAATTGAAGGCAGGCTTTTGTACTGATACTTACTGTAGCTGTACACTGACTATGGCTTGGATAACTGAAATCACTGAGTTTATTTACTTTTTCCCATTTACCTAGCCATAATGTGTCATTAAGCCCAAATATCAATTGTTTTGATCTACTGATAATCACTGAGAAAAAAAGCACACTCTACAAAGAACAACAAAAATTGCTAGTTTGAGGTACTATACTGAAATGAGCACGGGGAAAGGTTGTTTGAGGCTACTGTCAGAGTTAAGATTAATTAGCTTAGTCCATCTTAATATCCTCGTTCTGTCTGCCACGTGAGCCACCACGACCTTCCTAGCAGGTAGAAGATACTCGCAAGTGGCATTAAAGGCTTTTTTCTCTCTCTGATGGGAGATAGAATAGTCAAAATGCTCACACTGATACTGCTGCAGCCATTAACTAGAATGGAACAGAAATTGGTCTGCTGAGGCCAGATTCATTAGTCACCAAGAAATACAGACTGGAGCCTCTAATCTAAGTTACAAATGAATCCTCTGTCACAAAGCAGGAACTCACTTCATTTGCATAGTGTAAGTCAGCTTCTGATTTGTAACTTAAGGAGTTTTATTAGTTTTATCTGAACACAGAAGCTCACTTGAAACATACTGAAAATGACACTGGTCAGAAATTAAGGTCATGCTGAAATTTACTACCTATACACATAACTCGCTGATGGCATGCTTTTATTAATTTGTAATGCTCCTTAGTTATTACCAGTTGTATTTTTCTAGTGGAATCAAAATGATCATTAGCCTAATCATATCCCTGAAGTAGTCTCCCTGCCAAAGAAAAAAAGCTGTTCTATTCCCACTGAGATATATGTCCTGGGCAACATACTAATTATTACATTTCACACATTAACTAATACCTTAAAGGTGAGCTGAAAATTTCCGTACAACAAATTCTATATACTTCAGTATCTATCATTAAACAGGCTAATAAGGGACTTTCAAAATATTACCACCTAAAAACAGACTTTCCCACTGCCTTTTCTTGTAAAGTTCTCAGATGCAGCAATGTCTATTACTCGTTAGTGAAATGCTGTTCTTTTTTTCTAGATCTTGCCAACTAAAACTGGTGAAGTCATATCTTTTGAATAATCTCTATTCTACAAAACTTACAAAGTTCTTTTGTTTTGTTTTCATACATATACAGATTAGTCCTTCAAGGTTTGATTGACTAGGAATATGGTCCCCAGATGAGTAGGGTTAGAAAGTAACCATCCCCAGCAAAAGGAACTTCTTTATTATTTGGATCTACCACACAGAACTGGCTTGGCATAATTCCACCGTTAGCCTCACCATGTTTCCTATTTTACTTGGATATACCAGTGAGAAAAACTGGCTGCAGTGGACAAGGATTCTGAGCCAAACAGTGGCTTTCTGTTTCTATCATTTCGATAAAAACCAACATATAACATATATCGAGAGCACTGTCACATTATTTATATTTTATTTCTAGTAACCCATCCCCTTATCAACATGATTCTAGAAATGACTCCAAAAAATTTCAAGACAAAGCCTGTTTTATTTAACAGTACACCACAGAGATAAGAAAGCAGTGACTTTTTCATGCACATACATTATGACTACACAGTCTTTGATATGATAAACTGCCAGGAATATATCATAGCTGTTTCACTCAAGTTGTTTTTCAATCCACAGAGATGACAACAGGAAATAACGAGACTTTATGATTACTTTCCAATTCAGAGGATATTTCATTAAAATTCTTGTATGTTTGGATGAATGGAAAAACAGCAAAAATTATAAAAATAAATTATTTGCTTATTCTGAGAGTAATATACCTGTGAAAAGCCAACATTTGTACAGCTGATATGGGGCACATTATATAATTATCAAAGACTGAAATACATTGGATCATGCAGCAAGATGATAAAGCGTAACAGGTAGCTGAAGAAAGGAGAAAGCAGGGTGACAGCACAGGGGAGATACCTTAAGGTAAGCCCTGCATGTCTTCTCTCGTTTTTGGAGCTTTTTAGTAAAAGAAAAGAAAATCAGAGGTTAGATTTTTATCTGTTGAAAATTGAGGAAAGAAGAAATCCTCAAAAATTAAGCTGGTGGTCCTGAGCTCAGCGTTTATTATGTACCGTAATCCTCTGGATTTTTGTGAGTCTATACTGATTGCCAAGATTGTGTATTCAGTTTTCAGCTGTATTTTACTAAACATGATAATCCAAAGTATCTTGATAAACCTAGAGACAAAGTATGTGATGAAAAGGAAGAAAAAAACCATAAAACCATTTCAGCCGCAGATTTCAGATTCATATGAATTTCATATAAACACTTTATAGTATGGTTAAAATAACTATCAAATTTTTGTCAAGGTAGGAAAAATTAGTAGCACTAACACTCTATACTCCTAGCAAAGGAAACTTGTCCTTCTCTCAAAACCTACCACTGAAAACAGTATTTCAGTGGCTAACATTCCTATATGCATCACAATTTTCTTACAATCACAAGAGTTGACTGTATTAGTATATGAGCTGTGTAACAGAATCTCTCCTAGTGGGCCTTCCAAAGTGAGAGTACTGACCAAAACCAGGCAGATGAAGTTTACCACCAACTAAAATCTCCCTCAGGTAATTAGCATCATTTGGGGGGTGGGGATGGGTGTGCACGTTGCTCCTTTCCCAACTATAATTCTTTCTTGAGATATGAACCAAATTAGAAGTTCTTTTTCTATGCGTTTGTCCAGGGGGCCAAAAGTTAGGCAGTCAACTGCTGGAAGAATCCAGAGCAGCCATACAAAACATCTAATTGAAAATAACAGAAAATTTCTACCTACCTTGTTATAACTCCGTCCAGCTGAATCCTTTTCACTAGGTTTCAGTTCCTGCAGCTGCGCATCAAGAATATCCACCAACTGCTCCATCAACCTCACTGAAGAACTCACGTCCCCAGCAAACACTGGCCCTTTGGTATGTTTAGCCAGTTCATTGGCAAGGCTAGCAGCGTTTTCTCCACTTCTGATCTGAAATGACAGTTTATATTATCTCAGTAAGATTTCTTGTTCTGTTTGTGGCTTCTTATTTTTTTCCCAAGTATCTTTGTTGTGGTGAGAAAAGTATTTGCAAATATGTCAAAATCTGCAACTGAGACCAATAACTTTCTCTTCATTTCAGATGATTAAAGATTCTTAGATCCTCAAAAATATATACTTAATCAGACATTTTAAAGAAACAAAAGGTAAAAAAATCAGAAATCGTTTAAAAAATTTTTGAGATAGTTCTCTCATTTCACTGCAACCATTTAAAATTGCTATTTAAAAATCTTACTTATTTATTCCAATGATCCAGAAATTCAAGTGAGAATGTAATCAATGTAATACTGAGGGCTATTATCTACTGCTTGCATTTTAGAAAGGTAGATGGCAAAGGAGAAACTAAAATGTCACTGCATTACAATGTAATATTAAAGTTACTAATGCTTTTTAAAGTCATTTTTCTTATTCTATCATAATCAACTGCAATATGAACATCTGCTTGCATTCTGTGGATTCAGTTGCAAATCAATGATACTTGATTTATTAGGCCAATACACTATTTGTCTTACAAACATCAAAAGAAACAGAACTAAATATGAATGAAATTAAGCAACTATGTACTCATTAAAAAGCTTAACATAGAAAACAGCATGCCCTAAAACATATGTAACTTTGAATAAATAGTTTACAGACCAAGCTATGCATAATTTTTTACTTTTACACTGAACAAAGAGCAACGAAGGTGGTTTTAACATATAAAGCTAAATTATTTATGTTAGAAGTTAAAGCCCTTAATCACCAATGTGTATCATATTAAAAGGTTCCAACCAACCTTCTGAGCCAGCTGATTTACCCAGTGTGAGGTACAGTTGCTAAGATCGGGGCCCCTAGGGTTCCATGTTCCAGTGGAAAGCATGCAGAGATACGAGGCAGTTCCTACAACAGATGTAGAAAGCAACAGTGAAATTGAAACCATTTTTTCTGCATGCATTCGGGAAATCAGCTATGATGATCCTACTCTGTGTGTTAAATTTTGAATAAACATTAATGGAAGTAGTTGACAATAACTGATGAAAAGTAGGGTATAATGCAGACTATAAACAGTAAATATAAAGTCAGCACAGAAATATCAGACATTTACAGCAAACAAACAAAAAGCCCTTGATTTTCTTGGGACTCATCCAAAATGATACATTGCAATGAGAAAGACAGCTATAAGGAAGCCTCACTAGAGAATCCATGGGCAAAAATCTCAGGCTTGACCTAGGTCTTTAAGAGGGAGAAAATTTTTTTATTTTTTTTTTTTTAACATCTTTATTGGGGTATAATTGCTTTACAATGGTGTGTTAGTTTCTGCTTTATAACAGAGTGAGTCAGTTATACATATATATATGTTCCCATATCTCTTCCCTCTTTGTCTCAAGAGGGAGAAAATTTAATTCAGTGCCTGACCTTAAATGACTTTTACAGTTTAAAAACCTTTAAGTTGTCTACATGTGCTATATTTCCAAAGTAACAAAAACAACAATGAAGTTAGCTATCGTAAATATCTCTTTCCTCAAATAAAATCACTTCTGTGTAATTCAGAACCTACTTAAAATAAGTTTTTGTTTGTTTGTTTGTTTGTTTGCTGTACCCAGGCCTTTCACTGTTGTGGCCTCTCCCGCTGCAGAGCACAGGCTCCAGACACACAGGCTCAGTGGCCATGGCTCACGGGCCTAGCCGCTCCGCGGCATGTGGGATCTTCCCGGACCGGGGCACGAACCCGTGTCCCCTGAATCGGCAGGCGGACTCTCAACCACTGCGCCACCAGGGAAGCCCCTAAAATAAGTTTTAAAATGTATATATAGTATTTGACAGGAAATACCTCTCGTTCCCTTGGGACATGGTCGTTCAACCATCATTCCCCTTTGTGTCTGAGGCCACCTTATCCCCCTTGCGTCTAATGCTTCACAGAATCTCTCTGGCAGGGGAAAAATATTTGTTACAGGAGGAATTTTGGTTGTAGAAACTGCTGGAGGTGGTTTTGTCCCTTTGCTTCCTTCCTGAGATCCAGCTACAGTTGTGCTCATGGGGCCTTTCTGTGAAGTGCTTGTGGTTGATACTGTGGTTTTGAACATCTCAGCTGAAGAAGTTACTGTCACAGCTGTGGTAGGCACTACGGAAAAAAGATGAGTATGTTAATCTCAAACACACACTTGCACTCATATGTGAACACGTGCGTGCCACTTGCACTCATATGTGAACGTGTACGTGCGTGCGCACACGCGCGCACACACACACACACACACACACACACACACACACACACAAACCCCTACCCATCCAACTACCCCAACACCAACAAAATGAGAAATTAATGAGAATATCCGTAGGGTGGGAGGAAGAATAAATCTCTTCATTTATTCCAATTTATTCATATTGTTGGCTAAACGATGGCAGTATAGGATTTACCATAGATTTTGCTCTATGACTCTAATTGTGCTAGGCTTACTTCTCAATGAAATATTTGATAATAAATTTCATCATATATCATGTAACAGGAAATGAAGGACAGTTTCATATAGAAAATTTCAATATACATATCAAATACATTATGTCATATCAAATACATTTAGAAAAATCCGTTTCTTATATAAATTCATACTCTGAAACAATAAAATTCAAAGTGTCAACAAAAGTCTAGCCATTACATATAATTAGGACAATAGAAAATTTCAAGTCACCCACTCTGCATCTTGAAGGAAAACAAATACTGTAACATCTTTCCACCCAGCAGCCATTCTTGCTTGAGAGATTTTTGAGCATGCCTGATTAGATCCAAACAGAAGATAAGCTGGGCATGCTTGTGCTGTTTCAGTAAGGAAACATCTGAGGCTTCGACATTTTTACTTTTGAAAACACAGGTATGAAAAAGAAACTAGTTCTGGTCAGAGGTTACAATGCAATCTCATATCAAGATAATGGGTTCGATCAAATAATGCCTAATTTGAAACAACCCTACATATCCTACTGACCCTTAACAGAGAGTATAAAAGGATTTAAAAATATAAAAGTGGATTTAAGAGTAGAAATTTTAAAAGAAAAAAATTTTAAGGTTATTTTGGACTTCCAACTACTTTTAAACTGTTAAATCCACTAGGTTAAAATAATAATGGAGCTTAATGTTTCCCTCACTAACCCTTAATTTAAAAACAACAAAAATTCTGTCAGTAAAACTTTAATGGCACCATTTAAAATCTATTAGGTGATCACACTATAATTTTATCAACATTTAGATTACTGGCTCTTAAGACCTTATAAATATGATGCCTTAAATTTAAATTGAGTAGAGCAAACTAAAAATAACTATTTTTTAAAATAATCTTATAAAACATTAACTTACTTTATGGCTTTGCTATACGTAAGTAACAAACTAGAACATTAAAACTTCTTGGAAAACAAGTTCATATTATCACTGATAATATTAAGCTCTGGTCCATAAATAGTTTACATAATTCTGAGTCTATGACAGAGTATGCTAAGTTTATCAGAAAAAGTAGTGTGTACTTGTTTCTAGTTCTTTAGTAGTGAGAAACTTCTTGTTATCAATAAGTGCAGGTCACACTTTTTACACCCTTTTTTCATTCTATCACAAGAGAAACTTCTTAAGCAAAGTTTTATTTCCAGGGCATCAGTTACTGACCATATGAGAGAAGCCTGTGTGCATTAGCCAAGCATCATGCCTAGCCAGCTGCTGCAGAAACCTATTCAAACCTGTTTATCTTTTTCTGTAAAGCGCTTCCCTGACATCCTGTTAAACCTCTGTAATTTTCTTTTGATTACAATACAGCCAGGCTTTCAGTGCTTTCTCAATTAACATTTGTCAAAAGCATCACAATCTTTTGCAGAAGTGTCAAGTGAATGCTGCTGAATGAAATCTAAAAGCCGGGGGAGGGGGGGATCCAGACAAAAAGAAAAGGGCAGAGCAAAATGGTTTAGTGCTACACCTTCTGATGTATCCCTTGACACTGTGCTAATTAGTACATATTTAATCACTGAAATATGTATTAACAATACTACAATTAGTGATCTGTTTGCTGAGCATCAGTAAAGATTCATAAGTGAGTGAAGGTAGGCAATAAAATGACTTTTATTAAATGCACAAAATTTCATGCAACATTCTATACCCTATTTGCGTGTGTCATTGATAATAAAATTTCATACCTTTTTACCTTTTGTTCATCAAAAGAAGTTTAAAGGGAAGCAACACATTCTTCAAAGGTAAACCAATGAAATATTGGGGTATCATGAAAATAAACATGAACGTCAACTTTAAGTGGCAAAATGAAACCCTTTAGGAGGACAACTGTAAGATTTTGCAAGGCCAAAGTTTAACAACTTCAAGGAAAGCATTTTTTTCTAATGTTGAAGCTAGAAATGAAGAGGTATTTCTAAAAATTAATATTTCTTTCCTTAGGTGAAGACAGGTCGCAACAGGGCACCCCATGATGATAAAAGCTTACACTTATTCAGCATTTATGTACCAGATGCTGTGCTAATCACCATTCATGGATCATCAGATCATCTTATTTAATCCTTACCACAACCCCATGAAGTAGGCACTATGATTATCTTCCTTTTACAAAGGAGAAGACTGAGCCATGGAGGAGGTTAAGCAATTTGTTCAGGTTCATTGTCCATACTCTTAAATGTTATGATCTTACTTTTCTAGGTAAAAGATTTTTAGAGACTCTGGGAAAGTATGGCACCCTACTAAGCAATTTGCCCTTATTTTGGAGCATTTAACTGACACTGTGTTCTGCATAAATCTTTAAAAGAAGAAAAAATGTGGGAACATAAGATACTGAAGCAATAAATAGTTTCGTAAGGAACCGTATGTGGCAAAAGGCTCAAAACTCAAGAATATCCTATAAATGGTAACAGAAAACATGGCAACTCACAATAGACTTATATCATAAATCTAAACCCTACTTTACAGAGCCTGTCCCAGAGTTATCAGGTGCCATATCAAACACAGATTAAATGACTTAACATTCTACCTACCATTTATTATTTGAGTACAGAGATGTAGAAACGGTGCCAATAATGCTAATAAACATATTTAATAGGTACCCATGAAAATTTCAACAAACACATACAGAATGGTTCAATTTACTATGACAGTATTTACTAAGAACTTGCTAATTATCACCAGCTTTTTCCTGTGTGAAAAGATTTTAAGGACAATATGGGTGGTTATTTCCCTCTTCCAAGTCCCAAAACTCACCCATTATTCACTGAATGAACTCCAGTTAGAGTGAGTCTGTAGCCTGGTAAGGCAAAACTGCAGATTTATTAAATTTACCCTTATTCAATGTCTAAAAACACTGATCATCTTTTAATTAGCATCCATTATCAGTGGGAAGATGTTTTAAGAAATATGTATTCTATACTAAACACTTCCTAAGTAATAGACCTAACTGGCTCTCTTGATAAAAAATTTCCCTCATGTTGTTTAAGTGTCATACTTCATTATTACTCTAAGACAGATATTCAGAAACTGTCAAAACTCAAGACACAATATTTTTTGATAATGTTTGGGATATCAAATCTGAAGACAGATTAAGTAAATATATAAATCAATTCAGATTAAGACATAGAAAAGAGTTAATATATGACTGAAATGGTATTTTTCTAAGCCCATTTTATAGAGAAAGAAAGTAAAAGAGGAAAAACAGACCTAGTTCAAGGAAATGGAGCAAATTAACTATGCCGAGATCACAAAAAGCTAAAAATTTAAAGAAAAAAAGAAAGATGTATTTGAAAACATTATCAAGGCCAAGCAATAATGTACTTGTGCTGTTAGAAATGAAAGGCTTGGATTTATAAATGGGGAAAAGTACTGAAGCTAATACAGTGTGAAACAGTCCACAATGAAAAATTATCCGTTTTACAGCACAATGTACACTTCAGCTATATACATGGTAGCAAAGCCAGTACATAAGACTTGCTGACAGTGGCTTACTGGTTTGACCTAAATGTATGAGCCACAATAGTTCTGTAATGCCTCATCTACATGCAGTTAGATAACAGCACATATCTTAGATGAGCGAGGCAGGAGTCTCTCTAAAAGCATTTGAAGATAAATTATAAAGAGCACGTGAATAAGAGAATACAATTCAAACATCAGCAAGAAATTTAGGCCAGATAAAACTCTTTACCACTAAGGGTTTAATAAGGGGTCAATACGAATTTTCACTTTCTGAGAATATATAAGAATGGTTAACTATTTTGGATAACACAACACAGCTGTAGGAATGCAGTTACCACATATGGCTAAGTTTCTCATTTTCGAAGCTGGTAACTGTTCTTTCCAAAAAGCACCCAAATTATCAAAGATTCTTTCATCTGAAATGGATCAAGTTATTTACTAGAACATATGGAAAATGACATTTTTACTCATCTTGTATTTTATGAAGTACTCTGTGACAATCAGGGAGGCAATGATTCCTTGTTGAGCTGCATCTGTATTCAACTTTAGGTGCTGCCTGATTATGAATTTACATTTTTAAAATTTATTTTCTATTTTTTTCTAATGGAGGGAAAGAGATTTACTGCTACCCAAGATAAATTTAACAGTTGTGAGGGTAATACAGGTTACAAAAAAGATTAAAACATGTATCTCCACAGTGTCAAATTTTGTGGATTACTGACCTTTTTTGCCTTTTACAAACCTATAGGATAAAGGAGAAGCATAGTACTAGCATTTAGAAAAACAACTGAGATATAGGAACCATCCCAAATTGCTAGCCTCAAGAGAAAAAAGATAGGTCTGAATTTAAAAATAAAGAATACTAAGACTATCAACAAAGATTTTTATGTCCTAACAGATTTCATTGTTGAAAATTTAACAATGGGACATTGCTACAATTTTCACCCAACAAATTCTAGACATACATGAATTAGAGAAAAAGGGGGCTTATACTAAGTCATATGTCATTATTGCCCTTATGTTAAGAAGAAAAATCACATATTTTTGTATTCTATGACTCAAATTAGAAATTCAATTACAAAAGGCTTCTGCTTTTGAGGTCCTAACCCTATGACAATATTTAGAACTTAGTAACATTATACCCTAAACTATGTGTGGGTATATGTAATTGTGTTTAAGTGTGAATGTACACTGCTTTAACAGAAGAAAAAGATATTAATTTATGTTCCACCTTGTTGAAGAGATTGATTTAGTCACTCCAAGGAACATTCTGGCTCCTACAATTTTGAAGTAACTCAATAATATGAAAATTCTAATTAACTCAGAAAATTGAAATAATTCAGATCTTTAAAACACAAATATTATTGCTCAAATAGAAAAGACATAATAAGTGCAAGCTCTATAATAATATATTAAGAGGTCATTCTTCTACCATGAGTATGAGGTAATCTTGTTTTAATGAAATATCCAAAACTTCATTTACCCTCAGAAACTGTTCACTGCAGAACTGAATTAACTTGCTAAACTAAAATATATTTCCAAAGATTTATAAAGTAATGATCCTACATAAAGATACCTAAAGAGAACACAAATCAAAAAATGCTAGTGGATTTGTCTTCATAAATCAACACTTGGGATCATTTAATGCTTAGTCCATGTGTAACAGTTAAAGTCACAGAAATACTGACCTAAAACAGTCACAAATTTACTGGGAAATAAAAATGTGTTATTTTACACGATGATCTAGTAAGATGTTAGATGACTCCTTCTCCTACCCAGAGAGCAGAGGCCAAAACTTCAGAATACTTATGCCTGGCATTGTACATCAAGCCTAGCAATTCTCCTGGGACTTCCTAACAAAAACTTCCTTTTACCACTGGCGCCAAGAAGTTAAAAGGTCTGCACATAGATCATAATCAATTCAGAAGTCAGGTAGAAAAAACACACAAAGCTAACAGGTTTGTAGTTGGCATTACATTTTTAGCAATGAAAATCTAAACTGACCAAGGATGCTACAATTTTTTGAAACCAACATTTAAACGAAGAAATTCAGAAAAAGAAAATGGACCAATATAAGGCTAAAATGTACACAGTATGTGACAATTTGAAATGCCACAATATTATCATTTGCCCTTGAACTATGAAAAGGGAAAGAAAACAAATAGGAAAAAAATTAAGAAGTCTTAAAAATAAACTGTTCATAAAAGATATAAGCATTAGCAAGCAAACATTCTTACCTTGGGCAGGATCAGGTGGACCAAACTCCAGAGAATATCGTAAAATGAAGTTATTGTTCCACACGTAGAGTTGGTTATCTCTTGGATTGTAATCCACTGCAGCAATATACTGATACTGGTTGGGGAAGGGAACATCTACATATTCTCCTCGGTTTAATCGGGTATTGTAAATATAATCAATTGCATTCTTGCCTGTTTCACTCTCATTGTCTTGATAAACTGACCTGACCACATAAAGGACTCCACAGATCATAAAAGCATTTGATGCAGCTCGCTTGTCGTACACAGTCTCCCACGTTGCTTCAAAGCGAAGAGTGTATGGATTCAGTTGGCTAATCACTATCATTCCATTGTTCTGTTCAGTGGCATAAATGACCCATAAGCCATTTTCATCAACGGCTAGGTCAATATCAGTTTTTCCTCCCCATCTATATGGTGAGGTATCATGATAGTTAGCATAGTTAATTATGGCCTCTCCACTCTTAATTCTAGTCCTCAAGTCAAATTTCACAATATTTCTTGTTCTTTCTTTGTTAAAGAAGACAGCACCATCATATACCACAAATCCAGTACCATCTACTCGATTTGGAAGTTTGTATGTTGTTGTTTGGCGACTGTTTTGGAAATCTTCTAAAGAAGCATATTCTATTAAAGTATCAGTACGATATGGAGTCCAGGGCATGAAATAAATTTTATCTGCAGCCTGAAGAGGGTCCTTGCACCAAGCACCTGCCTTTTGTTCAGCTTCATATATACATGGTGAATCCACAATTGCTTTCAAGGTCCCAGGGCACACAAAAACTAACAGTCACAGAGAAAAAACAAGAATTAAGCAAAGTTAAAAGACTATACAGGCAAACGCAAGTTTTAATGATCATAGATCAAAAGAGAAAAATTCACTCCATTAGCATTCAATTTTACCAGAAATTATACTTTAAAAAGTACTACCTTTCTTTCCTTAAGTTACCATAATTGATGTACCAGCATACAAAGCGGCTGGGGTTTATTTTCACAAATACAAACCTAAGTTTAAGATCATTCATGATTGAGCTAACAATTTACATTTTTGCTATGTGCTTTTATCTTATAATTCGGTAATTTATGCTTTAAAACTCTGAGCTTTGTACATAAGGGTGAACAAAGTACTTTTAGACCAAACTTTGTACCCTCCCCTCCTTAGCCCACTTATAAGCCCCCAAAAGCAGAACACCAAAATTAAGCAAATAAAACAAACCCAATGTGAAGGCTTATTTAGAACGTCTATGGAACTTAGACTGAAAACAAAAGTGCTTCAATTGAAGGAACATAAATATTCGGAAAATGCAATTAGAAGCAGAGAAAAGTAAGTACGAGGAAAGGAGTGATGAAACGACCAGGAGACCCTGTAACCATGGCATGCTATGGAGAGGGTTCTGGAAGCCAGGCAAGATGACACTTTAATAATAAAATATCCAAGGGTATCAGAAAAAGAGATAAAGAGTGAAAAGAAACAGAGAAAGGACAGCTCCCCCTCGCCGACTTCAGAAATTTTACCCCGTCACCAGATTTAGCAGTCATATAATTTCACTGTAAACAGTCGACTTCTTTATGAGGTGCATTTATGAGATCCTGCTGATTATATATTAATGTCAGGAGTGTTGTAGGGGAAGGGAAGGGAGAAGGTAACATCCATAAGGCACATAACAGGGAGCTGGGGTTCAAACTGTATACGTTATTTACCTTTTTGCTCCACTTCTATTTTAAGCATCGGAAGAAAAACAAAAAGTGCAAGGAAAAAAGAAAAAAGATTAAAATAAATTGACAGTCTAAGACTGAATTCGTAATAGATGCTAAATATAAGAAGAATAAGAGCTGCACTACTTTGGATAAAGAGAAACACAACAGGAAAACCTAGCAGGAGAAAAGATACTAAAGTTACATAAAAGAACATGGATCAATCATTTCAGTAGATTAAGGAGGCAATACAAATATGTTGGCATGTTGCTTCACTTAGTGTACCTGAATAAATAATGAAACTCTTCACTAATGCATGGTGTACATACTCTTGCCTTTCCCAAGTCACTCAGCATTCTTATCAAGTTTTACTTTAAATAGGTAGGCTATAGACACAAATGCATGCATAGGTGTATCATCCCCATTTATCTTATCATGCGAACTCATTATTAAGCTGACTAAAATTAGGTAAGCATAACAACAGGGAAATATATTTATAAACATGGCAACTCAATTTTGAAGCTCAGGTCAAAGCTAATGAATACTGATATTGTTACATTTTTCAAAGATACTTATGTAAGAAGAAATATATAATTATGCATCTCAGTACGTTTCAATTTTTTTCTATTAAATTTTCTGTTTCTAGAAAAATCTATCTTAACTATAAAAAATCTGCCTCCTTTTCAGGAATATATAAGCCCCCCCCTTTACCCCAATAGTTATTTTGAAGGGTAGGCTAAGGTAGTACCTTTCTTCCCCACTAATAATTAGTAAACTTATTTACATTTATATATACTTTATATTATAAAATTCTTATTAAATTCTCTATATCACATATCTCAAACTTGTAATACAAAGTCTATTTAAAAAAAAGTAAGCAAAATACATACAAGGAAAAAGCAAGCACAGTAGGCAAGGAGAAAAAAGGAAGAAAGAATTATGGTTAGCTTATTATGACATTGTCTACCATCATCAATTTACACAAAAGCAAGCTAGCATGCAACAACAATCATACCAAGCATTCAAAGCAAATACCTTGATTCCACAGACCCCATAAAAGGTAAATGCTTTCATAAAACAAACCTGATTAGTAGAGTTATAGGAGAAAAAAATCCTCCCTCCAAGAAGTTTAAAGAAATGGATTATGCAGTTAGGAAGTATGCTATATAAGATTCTTGCTGGTAAATAGTATTCTAATCATTACAAACCATAAAATACTATTTTAGATTTTGTATGTAGGTTTTGAAGTATGTTGCCTGAATTTAATAAAGTGACCAGATTAATGTCTGTGATTCTCCCTCTTCCCTTATTAAAATGCATTAGGGTGTGCTAATACTGTATCTCCAAACTGACTACTCAAAGATACTGTAGTAGTTGCACATTTCATTAAGATGCCTTAGCTTGGTTAATTTTTTAAAATTATGATAATTCATCAAGATTAAATACTGACCTCCTGAAATACCTTAGGGAGAAACATATCACACAAATATTTTTGCCATAGGAAACCTTCCACATTAAGACACCACCTCCCCCGTCCAACTTGGTCTATTTAACCACTTTCAGGAAACATACTTGCTCTATTAATGCGTAAACCTGACTACATCCAGTAAAAAGGAAATTCAGTGTTACTGACGTGGAACAATTCTTTTTTATAAACCACTGGTCCTAAAATTACTGCTCAGTGAAGAGCAATATTATACCTGCTTAGAATCAATAAAGGAAGGGCATGGTGGGAAAATGAGGATAAAATAAATCATTAGTATTGAGTCTGCTCAGACTATCTTTATATACAGCTATATTCTTTATTTTTAGGAAAGGATGATTATACTGAAATATATCAATTAAATGCAAAGATGGGAATAATACATTTTAAAATATGTTACGCATTTAAAACAGAACTTAAAACAAGTTCAATAAAGGATGTAGAAAATATATTTTGTTTTCCATTAATTGAAAATGGCTGGGTTTTATTATTCGATACATTAAAATGACAGGGCAGTTACTGAGCAAAATATTAAATAGGGATGACTTCATTTATGATTTAACTTTTATATTTATATTAAAGAAAATAAAATGAATATATATTGTATATAATTTATAATTCTAATGAAAACTGAGAAGTAACATTCAAATGTAAAAGTAAAAAAAATTAAATAAAACTTTTGATGATTGATGAAGTGCATAAAATATGGATATTCAAAACAAAAGACCTTACATTATGATTTTTATGACAACCCAAAGGATATATATTTGTCAAATCAGCCAAAATTCTCTCAACCGAGAAAAATATTAAAATACAATAAAATTAATGAAATTAGCATTCTTCATCACATATATTGCAACTTGTCTTAAGAGACTGTATGAATTAATTCATAACAATACATTTACTATGCTATAGAACAAACATAAATATGTGACCCACTAACATCAGTGGAGGACACGGTTATGCAAGACAAGAAATCGACCCAAACAAACTAAAGCCTACATACTCTGTATCTGCAGTGACACACTATTTCATTTTGAATAATCTTATGTTTATTTATTAATAATGATTGAATCAATAGTAAAAGTTTTTTTCTCATAAAATAAAACATAGCTGAATTTATGATATAACTTTAATAACTTAATGATAATTTGAGATAAGAGGGTACAAAAATCAAAACCAAATCGCACCTGTAGGATACGGAAACTCTGATCTGATTACTCTCCTTTATCCTACAAGATCCTTATGACTTCTTTTAAACACATTCATTCAATAATCAAATATATGTGCCTGTCTATAAACATACAAAGTTAAAAAACAACAGCATTTATAATGGACTCTGTTGAGTAAATTTATTATAAAATTTTCAGAGATCATGGAAAATTTCTAATTTTTTTTTTAAATAAGTGGAAACAGTTTGGGATGGATATGCTCCTGAAGAACTTGCGCTGGATAGAAACTGGCATAAAGCCAGGTGGTAACAGACACATAATAAATGTTTTCTGACAGTGACAGTTTTTATCAACTAAGTGTAAAAGGAGTATGCAAACATTACAAAGTACCAAAAATACTATTAAAACAAGGTAAAAGTGAAAGCTAGACGCTTAAAATAAAAACAAGAGATGGTTATAAAGGACAGAAGCATAAAGAAACAAAAGGAGAGGATAATGGGGAAAAGAGATTAAGAAGATACACAGTCCTAAATAAGATCAGAACAATCTAAAAAGATCCTTTGCATTAATTATAATATTAGTGAAAATCATGCAATTTATAGTGTGTCACTACTGAACAGTATATAGGAATTGTAATTACTTCTACTCTTTAGAAAGGAGTAGTTTAAAAAAGCCATAGACTTATTTCTGTCTCCTGCAAACATCTAGAAAGGTAACAGCAAATTAATTACTGTTTTTTTTTTAAGGACAAAAACTAAAAAGAACAAATACTTCTCTGAGTATTGCTATTTGCAAGTTTATTACACAGTGTACATTACTTCTGGAGAACTGAAAAAGTAAATTTTGAAAGTTAGATGTTCCAGAAGATATCCACATTTTCCTTTCTTAAACAGCGCAAGAAATAACTTAAAAGTCTGAAAATAATATTTTCTTAACACTGTTCTTGATCTATAGACTAGATTACAGGAACTGGCTCCAGAAAGACATAATTCTTGGCAGCTCTGACTGATTCCACTGTTTGGGAATGGATGCTGTATTCCTTTTCTAATTTGAGGACAGAAACCATACTAAATTCAACTGCAAGTGACTTTATGGAACAAAACTTTGGTTAGCTCAAAAGAATACAATGTTCCTCCAGTGGCAAAGGAGAATGATTATGTAAGCCACCAACACTACACACAGGAGAAACGATATAAAGATCAGTGCACTCAGTAGGCTTCCAATCCTTCAAATGGTATAGAAAATACTGAAAACATAAAAAGCCTCCATTTCACAGTAACACAACACAGAGCATGGATGAAAAGATAATCTGTGTTTGGCCTTTAACTGATACCCCACAAAAAGCCAATTTATCAAAACTGCGGGCAGAGAAGAGAGAGAAGACAGTGCCTTCACAGGATGTAAAGTATGTATTACAACCATACTGGGCATAGTATATCTATCTAAAATCAGCCCTTTGGTTTCAGAAATATTGATAGTTTGAACATATGAATCTATCAGAGCTAGTGATCTGGTTTTCAAGCTTCTGGAAAAAGCAATTTCATTATTAGTTTGAGTCCATCTTTTTTTAAGGAGGGAAGTCCTCTAAAGCAAATCATAAAATTGCTGCTAAAGAATTTTTAATTCAAATGTCTGTGAATTAAGGTGGCATGACATGTTTATCCTATTTAAGAAGTAAAGAAGTCAAGAACGAAACCAAACAAATTACCTGATGAAAATTAAGTAATATACTTAATCTTTTTAATTGTCTAAAATGTTTTTTTCCTGTTGAAAATACAGAATCCAATTCATAAGTATGAATTCTGAGATTAGGAGGAAAACTACACAGAATTACAGTATTAGCTGAAGCCTACTTATGAAGTTTCCAACTGAATTTTAAATATTCCTCTAAAGGATAATACTAAAAATGGATGTTGCAAATTAAAAATATGTGGAAGGCTTTGTTACGTTTGTCTTATTTAGCGTTAAGATTTAGTCACTGAATCTGGTAAAGGAGTACTCTCTTAAGGACTAGGGATAAAAAGGAAAGCACTTGCCTCAGTTACTGCAATGGTAACTTTCACCAGGCATTAAAGTTACCACAACAGCAGGTAGCCATTCAAGTAGCTCACGATTAAAACCAAAGTCAATTCCTTCTTTAGAAAATGTGAGCCAAACCAATTTGTCAGCAACTGGTATTGGGCAAAAGTACAGATTTCTATCTGCCCTATTGAATAGCTAATTCAAGTTTGTTTTCTGGAAAAACACTAGCCTTAAAAGCCAAACACTTAAGAACACAGACAGACACTTGGCCAGCATCACACTATGGCTTCCTTCCACATTTCATGAAACTAATTGGAGGCCCGAGTCTGTTAGTGCTCTGCATGCATAATAGTTTTGTAGGCCATAAACATATGCTTCTTTCACATGTGTCCTCTTTCAGCATCAACGAGGAATGCTGTAGAAAGTGAAAAATACAAGCTTCATACTTACTGTAAGGGACACATTCATATTGGACCTCAAGATATTTGTATGTTCCAGGACATGGATCAGGAAATACATCTGACCCAGTAACTACTATACACTGTGTTCGATTGTTGCACCTGGAAAACAAAACAAATCAAACTTGTGTAACAATAATGTATTTGCTTATTTTTACTAAAGAAATATAATAGAGAACTGATCCATATTTTCTTCAAGCAACTAGTACCATAAATTAAAAAATTCAACTGATATTAGGTTGCTGTAAAGAGTTACAAAAGTCTATTTTCTTTATGTTGTAATATATCTGTATCATGGGTCACACTGAATTTTAACTGGAAATAAAAAGAAAATCACTAACAGTTCTCTATTTTTTTAGTATACATTTTAATTGGAATTTTTGACATGTTCAACATGTACTGAAAAAAAAGAAACCTGGATACTCACCATATTTAAGAATTAAATTGACTTTAAAATGGTACTGAACAAGAATGGAACTGAACAAAACAGAGTCATGAACTGAATAGCTTGAAAGTAAATTTTGACAACATACTGAAACAAAGGAAGAGCCAGGTTTTAAGCTTATCCTCTAAATCTCGTTTTGTGTTAAGCATTCTATTACAGGTATTTATACACTCTTGAATACCAGATACTAAGCTAATTGATCACACCTTCCATGCTATGGCCTGCATAAATGACAGAATGAATTTAAAGCATTTAGCATAGTGCGTGGTACATAATACTGAGTGTCTAAGCATTGTGTTACACTTACTATTTTCATAGAGCAATATGCTTATACTATCAACATGATATGACTATGAATTAGGTTTTTCTAAATTAGTACTCCCTGAAATACAACACTAAAAATAATGTCACTAACATGATGCCTAGAATGTCCTATTTATTCCTATTGGAAGTATTTTCTTACTTTTGTGTTGTCATTAATTCATTGTCATTGAGATTATTAGAACTAAGTTAGAATTCCAGGCAAGATGATATTTATTTGAGTTCTATGAATTTGTCCAAATGATCCTGTTATAAGCTATATAAAGGCAAGAACCATTTTCTTTATATTTAACTTGATGACAACCCAATGCAATGTAATATTTTCAGGGTTATTATTGTATTTTCTGCTAGTATATAAATTAGGAAGACAAAGCAAGGAGAGTAAGAGCATTTTAACAAAATTTATTTGATAATGTGAATACCAGACATTCTACAGTACATTAAATAACTAGACTATAGCATGGCAAATAAAGAATGAAAAAGTAGCCCAGTTTTTAGCACAACTAATTCACGGAGGGTGGAAGGAGAACTGTGTTAGAGAGGGTTAGGTATGTAAGTCATGCACCTTAGAGCCCTTCAACTCAAACCAGGTTGATTCTTCCCTGTTGAGCAGCAAGACCTGAAAACTTCTACAGGATCAAACAGGTAAATTTTATAGGTCAAGGTATAATAAATGAACTTCAAAGGGACATTTTAAATATTAAATAAATTATAACTAAAATTGTACAAATATTAAACTAATGATAACTTTTATCATAATCTGTAATACCTTATGCCATATTTTTTAAACATACCATATAAAATAATTTTCAAAAGCACGGATAATGTAAACAATGCAGTGTCACATTCTTATGCAACATCATGTTTTACTCCCCTTATTCCGTATTTCTCTTAAATGGGTTCAATCATTTATAAAAATTTGCCAATGGTTCTCTATTTAGTGTAAATGAATTATTTTAACATGAATAGTGGAACAAATTTTATATCCTAAAATTTTAAACAGCAAATGGATTTAAGATTTCTCAACAGACCAACGTCTATTGTTTGAACTAATGTTTCATTTTTCTTCTTAAATTTTACAGTAGCAAGAGTTCATTGCTTCTTTTTAAAGTTTCTTGATCTCAGGAATTCTCAACTACTAACCTGGTCCCCATCAAAAATTAAAAACTGGGCTTCCCTGGTGGCGCAGTGGTTGAGAGTCCGCCTGCTGATGCAGGGCACACAGGTTCGTGCCCCGGTCTGGGAAGATCCCACATGCCGCAGAGCGGCTGGGCCCATGACCCGTGGCCGCTGAGCCTGCGCGTCGGGAGCCTGTGCTCCGCAACGGGAGAGGCCACAACAGTGAGAGGCCCGCGTACCGCAAAAAAAAAAAGAAAAAAATTAAAAACTTTAATTTCCTTGCTTGTACTTACTCATACCTACAAAGATCGTCCCTTTATCTCACCCTCACACTTCTTAGAAACAAACAAATCTAAACTCTTATGAGTTAGATATCCCTTTCATACACTCCTTCTATATATATTTTATAGCCACTAACGAAGCTCTGCCATGTTGTAAATGGTTTTAATATTTATTCAAAATATATTCATGGTAGAAATCCCATAAAACAACAATTCCACTCGTGAGTAAACTTTTCATATACTTCATCACCCTTCCCTTCCCATTGGAGCCTCCCTTCCCACCAAACCAGGAACAGGTGAGAGAGAAACGGGACTGTACTCAAGGTTGAAATAGACCAAGAGCACGAAGGACTTTGGACCAAGGTGAAGAAGGGAGTTGCTCAAAGGATTTGGAAATTTATATCATTTTTTCAAAACTAAAGAACATACTGACGATTTTCCAGGTTTCTTCCCACTGTAAGATCAGATAAATAAATATGACTTTAAAATGGGATTTGAAATATCTTTTAGTCAATGTCACAGTATGTTGGCAGGAAGTATACAAGGGATAAGTAGCCCTGTTTTCATTATATTTTGTTTAAAAGAAGACAAACACCATAAAGTGAAAAATAACTGCTCATATTTACTCTTTTTCTGAACAACTCTGCATTAGTCACCTGACCACAATTATAAGTTCAAATTAATGTCAAAAGCAATTATAATAATTTATATCAACCACGTAATTTTTTAAATTTCTTTTAATAATCACATTGTACAATGCATTCACTCTAAGACAGCAAAAAGTATTAATTTTAGATCTGTGTGCTTAAGTAAAAATTGAAGGTAAAGAAACTTAATGGAGTTCCTGCAAATACAACTATATAGATTTCTAGAATTCATGGCCTCTCAGATGTCAAAAAGGTTCATTTTATATATCAGAAGTGCAAAAACTTAATCTTGAGGAAAAAAAGGCATTTGGGTGCTAAAATAGTAAAAGGTCAGCAAGAAGAGGAACACAAAGGTATAAGAATATCAGATTTGCATACTAGTATCTTGATTCATGGATAAGAAAACCTAAAATTTTAGAGGACCAAATGATGGAAATTATTAAAAATACAGACTATGTAAATTCCTTTATGCAAGTAGCCTTAAGTTTCCAAACACAGAAAGTGTGAGGAAACTAGGGAAAAGGAAATACCCAATGTGAGCTGTTAGTACTAAGAAAAATCTGAAAATTCCTTAACCAACACACTGTTGGTTAAGGCTATAAAACTGTAAACTGCTATCATTCAAGACAGGGAAAGAGAAAGCAATTAGCCACAGAAGCAAAGTAAATTCCCACCAACTGCTCAGCTTCAAGTTTTCACTCTAATGAAAATAAAAAGTCACAACTAAGCCAAGAAAGGAAAGGCATTCAGTTGTTTGCATTCTAGACCTAAGCGCAGTTCCCCTCATGAGTTTCTCTCTCTTCCTCCAGAAAAAAAGATTTATCAGTTAAGGTATGGTTACATTAACAATTAAAGTCAGTATATTTTAGTAATACCATGTGGATTCATGATGTTAAAAATTTATACTCTTCCTAAATGTGAAACATAAAAATTCAGTATAAATGAGAATAAGGCAGAAAAGGATAAATAGGGTTTTTTAAATAGGTGGACTTTTAATTATGACTTGAAGGAAATGCAATTACTGTTCATTATAAAGAAACACTTCAACTTTTAAATAATTGATTTTATTTTATTTGGTATTTGTAAGGCTGCACAGATGAGTGAGGATAGTTAAAGCACGGGTTCTCAAAATGTGGTCCTCAGGCCAGCATCAACTGGGAACTTGTTAGAAATTCATTCTCAGGTCCCACCCAAGACCAACAGCCTCAGAAACTCTGGAGGCTAGTACCCAGCAATCTGTGTTTTAACTAGCTCTGCTGATGATTCTGATTTATGAGGACCACTGGGTTAGAGACAGGTTTGGGTACTTTAGTAAAGAATAAATTATATATGCGAACACATGCTTTTACTCTATAAAGCTTAATAAAATACAAGTGAAATAGAAAAGCATTTAGTGATGACTATGATTTATGCAGCAAGTACATAACACAGCTTACAATGTTAACATATCTTCTCTTGCTAATTTTAATCATAAGAATCAAGGGTTTTAGTTGCTCTAATGTTGAGCCAGCAGGCTAGTTATTTATAAATTCCTAAGCTAAATAAGTACAATTTCTAAGTACATGTATACATCACATGTAAGCCCATTTTCAACAACAGAAGGAAAGTATAATCTTTTCCTAGCTAATGAAAATATCTAACACTAAACAAATCTGGAAATAAAATTTTGGCAATCTGTAAAAATATACTGTGTTCCCTAGAAGGAAGTTATCATTAAAAATAACAAACCAAAACAAGATCCACTATAATCACTGCAAATTTTTCTATAGTCAACCTTTGACTTATTTATTCAAATATATTTTAATAAAGTGGCTCAACTATAGGAAAACATTATACTATACAATTGTTTTTAGAAAGAACTCAAGGGACATAAAGGCAGCCCTTGCAAAAATTTACTTCTAAGCAATTTCTGGGATATAATGTATGATTTAATACCACCTACTAAGTTAATGTAATACGCACTCAGTCTCAGATCTAAGCGTATGGTCATTTTTAATATGCTAACCACATTTCCAAAAATTTCCAAGTTGGCATGTGTAGATAAAAGGCTAAACATTATTTTACATCGTTGGTTTAAAAGCACTATTAAAAAAATCACCTATATGTTATTTCTATACATTATTTTAGGTTGCAACTTCCTATCATATTAAATATTTCTTCCTCTAATTTTCTAATCTAAATATTGCCAAGAAAAATGTGTAATTGATAAAAATGCATTTTACAAATGTATATTATCATTAATTTATATACTAGTACATGGAAATTATGTATAAATTATCATGCACAGAT